TCCATCCATAAACTCTGGCTCACTCACTCTCCATTTCTGCCTCCTGTCTGACACTGGAGGATTAAAACAATGCTGAACTTTAGGCTGGGTATCTTCATGGCCATGGTTAAAGATTAAATCTACAGGACTTCCATGGCATGCATTTTTAATTTCTCTTTGATATTTGGGCAAATTGGGACCTGATGAATGTAAAAACAAAGAATTGCCACATTTTTTTCCCTGATTTTTGTTTCTGACAAAAATGAGATGCACATATAAGGATATTCCTTTAACATTCTATAGAACAGAGGCTGTATAATGTCCTTATAAGTGGATATCAGGTCCTTGTAGAGCAAAATTTAGTATTTTGGTCTAGACAACCCAAAATGTGATGTCCACATATGTGGACAACAGGTTCTAGGAAGTTAAATCAAAACTGCAGGACAGAGACCTCTGCCCTGTTCATTAAATGTAATTTAGGCTAAAAAATATTCCTGTTAAATCTCAGTTAGCTCAATTAGTTGTTTGATTTTAGAAATAATTTCTAAATGATATATTTAAACAAAAAAGCATTGATCAATCAAAGACAAGGCTCTCAACTGGACACACAAAACACTACCAAGTAATAAAGGTTTCATAAAGGTATGAAAACTATTTCAACAGCTAATGACATACAGCTTACTCACGTCTTAAAATCAGGACTGAGTCTTTATGATGGACAAGCCTAAGTATAGTTATATCACCAGACAGTAATGAATTCTCAGTAAGCCGCATATGATACAAATCATAATTATGTTGCCATTCCCTCGTTTTTAATCTGGCAGATAAATAAAGTTGGAGAAGTTGTTCTGTGTGAATAATTTCTTTGGTTGCAAAGATGAGTATAAAACAGCGTTCTTCACTTTCACGACAGAAACAGGATGCATGCTCACAAAGTGAAACCATGATGCAGACTTTGAGCAGTGAAATGTTTTTCATCTCAAAGTCTGTTTTGAACCCTGACAGCTTTGTGTTGATTGCTGAACGTAACTCAATTTTAAGGCTTTTATTTTTTATTATATTTGTGTTATTTTTCCATCTAATTGCTGCATTTTAAGAGGAAATCCGTGCACAGACTCCTGTGGTCGGAAGTTATTTTTTAATTCCAAAAGGAAAAATGCATGATGAGCTTATAAATTACACCTCGTTGCTCAGATTAAAACTTTGTTTCCACACATATTTGTCTCGGTCATTTATTAGCTTCACCAGTGACATGTTTCATATGTAAGATTCTCTCTTTGTCTGAGGCACAAAGCATTATGCAATATTTAAGGCACATAAATTACAAACAGAAGAAAAAGTCATAAAACAAATCTATATCACAGAACTGTTGTTTTTCTTCTTTCCCTGTCACTGGGCTCTCAGAGCCACCACGTTAAATATGAAATGATATCACCGTGTTGGTGTTGTTCCAACAACATCATGAAAATGTCAGTCATTAAAGGTCGTCCCTGTACCTGATCATTCATGTTGTTTTAACTCAAGAAGAAGGCACGGTCAAAGGAGAGGTTTCATTGTCTCCAATTGTCTGTGAAGGTTCTCAGTCATCCAGGTCATCGTAGTCAAAGGAGCTTGCAAAGAAAAGCGTCTGGACTTCTTTAAGTTGCTTGAAGACGTTTCACC